TGTTGCCCTGGCTAGAGTGAGTGCTGTGGCGTCAGCCTAGCTCACAGCAACCTCACACTCCTGGGCTCAAGCAATCCTTCTGCCTTAGCCTCCCAAGTAGCTGGGACTACAGGCATGTGCCACCATGCCCGGCTAATTTTTTCTATATATTTTTAGTTGTCTGGTTAATTTCTTTCTATTTTTAGTAGAGACGGGTTCTCGCTCTTGCTCAGGCTGGTCTCGAACTCCTGAGCGCAAACAATCCGCCCACCTTGGCCTCCCAGAGTGCTAGGATTACAGGCGTGAGCCACCGCACCTGGCCTGTGCACATTTAAACAGATGTCCCACCATCACTACCCCACCTAAATAGCTTAAGTAACCTTTAAAAAAAAAGAATCCTTTCAATCTGTTATAGCCTGAATTGTATCCCACTACCCACATTTATAGGATGAAGCTCTACCATCCACTGTGACTGTGTTTGGAGGTAATTAAGGTTAAATGAGGTCATAAGAGTGAGGTTCTAATCCAATAGGATTTGTGTCCTTACAAGAAGAGGAGACATCAGAGCTCACTCTCCCACTTTATGTACACAGAGCAAAGGCCATGTGAGGACAGAGTGAGAAGGTGCCATCTGCACGGTGAGGAGAGAGCCCTTACCAGAAACCAACCCTCTGGCACCTTGATCTTGGATTTCCAGTCTCTAGAAGTGTAAGAAAATAAATGTTGTTGACACTAAAAATGATAACAATAATAATAATATCGCATGTAACAACAAAAAAGGCTGGTAGGTAGATGGGAATACATGGAGAAATCTAGTATTTCCTTCTTTTCTTAACAGAGATCATCCAATGTTGTCTAAAATTGAAATAGGTAGTTAAATTAAACCCTTCTCAAACTTTGTTTTTTAAAAAATATCACTTCTCTTTTTGGAAAAAGAGTCATGCCGTAAGCAGAAGAAATTCAAGAATTTACAAAAGAGATTCACCACTGTGAGTGTTTGTGTGACTTGGAATAACCTTTATCACCGCAGTCTCTACGGCTGAGAAAAAGATATGGAGGGTCTAGGAGCCTGAAACTGCCATTTCTGACTCATCCTGCTCCCTTGCACTGGTTTTCCACTGAAAAGTAATCGAAACCCAAACCTTCTCCAGCTTGAGAACCCCGCAGCCAGCTGTCCCTCACCTTTTCCCTACTTTCCACCTGAGTCCCAGAAAAAGATGATAGAAAATCTTTAAAAGGACTGCCTTTGGGCATTTCAACTTACTCCAGAAACATCCCGACTTTTTCAATCGAAATCTAGTGACAAAACTGTGTTCACTTTAATTTTTTAAATCAATAAATCATCACTGGGAATAGGCATGAGGACCATTTGGATGGTGGAAATGTTTTATATCTTACTTGGGTGGCATTTACATAGGTGTATACCTTCGTCAAATCCAAAGTGTATGCTTAACAGGAAGGCATTTTTTGTATGTAAATTATATCTGCTTAAAAAATCAATAAGCTACTTCATAAATACATTCTCTTATGATATTTAATAAAATGGAAAAAAACAATTTATATTCATATAAATTGACTTGATGTTATCTGAATCAGTTAGAGATTGAGCTGCCTGGAATTTCTACCTTGGGAGTTCTAAATCTATTAATAGAAGAAGTGATAGACAAAACATGATAAAACGTTTTTGGTCTAAAAAGAAGATCAGGATCCCCCCTCTTTTCAGAGCCTGAGGGCTCACTGTTGGCAGCTCTGGAAGAAAAATCCTAAGGCACTTCTAAGAGCAAACCACACATTCAATCTTATAGTGTTCTTTTAAATTCTCTAAGTTACCACTTGCCATCTCCTGGGCCCTTTGTAGTAACTCCCCTACCTTTTGTTTTTCTGTGCCATCTTCCCTGGTCCAGATACTTGATGTAGAGTGGATCCCACCCAGAAAACCAGGGTTCCAGTCCAGTAGCTGATAGCTACACTATACTGCTGACCTTGATTTTGACCTTGTGAACTTAACCCATCCAAGGTCTTCATTTTCTTTCTGTGATGAGGAGGGTGGGCAGAAAAACATTGTGAAATGCTTAAGTTTAATTTTTTCATTACAAAAGAAAATGGAGAAAATATAATTCAAACTATAGCAGAAGCATGTAAAAGGAAAAAATGAAACTCTTTCTCTACTATTTGTCTCCATGGGGTAACTATATTAATTTGGGTATATTCCTCCATATTTTTTAGGGCAAAAAAATAATTATCATCAATTACATATACTAATGTGGAACGTTTTTTTTCTTTGACTTAACAATATAGCACTCTGTTCTGACAAGTAATATAAGCTACATGAGAGCAAGGATTGTGACTGCTTCATTCACTGCTATATTTCTGGAGACTAGAACTGTGTCTGACACAAAGCAGGTACCAATAAATGTTCACTGAATGAATGAATGGACATGAATCCTCCTTCCTGTAAGATCAACTAGAAGTTCCATGGGGTCAGGG